CGGTGTGGCCGGTGCGTGCGGCGGTGTGTCCACAACCTCGTAGACCTCGTTGTCGGTCTTGCCCATGTCCGGGCCCATGTCCTGCTTGCCGTCCTGCTTGCCATGCTTGTCCTGCATGTCCTGATTGCCATGCTTGTCCTGCATGTCCTGATTGCCATGCTTGTCCTGCATGTCCTGCATGTCCTGCTCATCCTGCATGTCCTGCTTGCCACGCTTGTCCTGCATGTCCTGCTTGCCATGCTTGTCCTGCTTGCCAGGCTTGTCCTGCATGTCCTGCTTGCCAGGCTGCAGAATGTCCTGCTTGCCATGCTGCAGATTGTCCTGCTTGCCAGGCTGCAGATTGTCCTGCTTGCCATGCAGCAGATTGTCCTGCTTGCCATGCTGCAGATTGTCCTGCTTGTCCATGTCTTCCTTCTCCTCCCAACCTTTCTCCACCTCCTGCCCCTTCTGGTCTTGCTTCTGGAGCTTCTCCGGCTGGCTGGCTGATGCCTTGCCCTGCTCAGTGACGGTCATGTCCTGCGCCAACCGCTTCACCCTTTCTGCTGCCAGCTTTGATGCCACCTGCTGCATTTGCTCTGCAAGTCTTGCCATCTCTGCCAAGAGCTGGTCCTCATGGTCGGCCATTGTCTTAGCATGCACCAGAGCCAAAACAGCTAGGGGTTTGTTGACCATGGTCCAAGCATGCCCAAGCCATGTTTGCTGTGTTCAACCAACATGTGGCACAACATGTAGCACGCCCAATGTCAACCTGTCTCATGCCAGACCCCTTGCTCCCTGAGGACCCTGGCCGCTGTGCTTCGCGTGAAGCGAGGAGGTGTTGCCATCGCCTGCGGAGCAAAAAGAGGTGAGCAGGCATGTGCTTGTTGGACCCCAGCCTTGACCTGTTTGGACAGTGTCTCACCCTAAAGAACCCCTGTGGTTGACCCCAAAATAGCTGCGTGCGTGAGTTGCAAACAATTGCATGTGAACAACCAATGCACAACAAACCACACCATGTCAAACTTGCTGGCCACACCAAACGAAGAGGACCCCGAGCTGGTAGGTAGCCACATGAGCCGGCGCAGCAAAACTCGACAACCAAGTGCAAACAAGTGTTCAAGGTTGCTGCTTGGAGCATCACGCACAGCTTCAAAATGCATCGCACTCCGCCAAGCAAACATGTTTGCCCTCAACCAGCCAACAATGCGTTGAACCATGATGTTGAAACAAGCATGCGCTTAATTGATGCGAATTGTTTCAAATTAAAGTGCACTCAGCTCGCGCGCTGATTCGCCAGGATTTCCATCCCGAACGCCGCCACGCTGGGCATGACCACGTTGCCAACGCAACGCAAACGCGATTTGTCCTCCACTGTTTGCTTGCTTTTAAGCCAAGTCTGCATGGGAGGACGCCCCTGAGTGTACCATGATTGAGCTGGGAGCTTTTTCATGGTCTGCATGGGGATCGGCTCATGGCCCTGCGTGCGTTAAGCCGTGTGATGGAAACTAGGATGGAAGCAACCAGCCTCGAAGACATTCACTGCCGGCTTAGCGACCAAGAGGAAAACCCGCTGGCGCCAGACCTAACAATATGGGCAACAAAATCTGTGTGTTTTGAGGTGCTGTCAAGCTGAGTTATCTGCGGGGGCAGCTACATTGTGACCACAAACGCTGCACCATGTGACCTCCATGTTCCTTTTGCCGCTTTCCTGCCAACAGAAAACAACATGATTGCGCAAACTCTTGACACACAGCCTGAAGCAAGAATGTCATGACCTTCGTCATTTTGATTGACAGCAAGTTGCCAACATTCTCAAGGAGCATGAAGTCCCTTAGTTTCATGAATCAGTATTAAATCACACATCAAGCAAACACTTGAGCCGCTGAACTGCAATCTGGTAACAAAGCGGCTTCATCGACACATCTAAAGCACTCGCGCAGCAGACCAGATCGCGGATCATCTAGGCCTTGCTGGGCCCCAGCTCGAGATATCCCCTGGCAACCAAAGACATGTGAAGCAAACAAACCACGCGAACAACAAAGCATGATATGCGAGCAACAAAACGCGCACGCCTGGCAGGGAAACCCCCCAATCAAGCCTTTGGCCTGATTGGGGGCTGGGTGATAATCCTCGATGTTGCTGAAGATGGGCCCTGGGTGCACCAAGCCATCTTTTTGGCGAGAGCGAATGACGCGTTGGCAGAAGTTGTCCGATTCCACCTTGAAGCATGCGCTGAGACATCATCAAACATCATGCAAACCTCTCAGGCACTGGCATAGCAAACCGAGTGGAAGAATCTGCGCGTAACATGAGCTGGCACACCACGTGTGCAAACAAACAACGTTGGCCGTGTCGCATGCCTGGAAAGCCCCAAGTCAAGGCCAAGGACGCCGGAGAACAAGCTTATCACAGGCAAGGTGTCCCGCGCGCCACCCTAAGCGAAAGCAAACTGTAACAAATAAACCAACTGCCAAGCATTACAGCACTACAACTTGCAACATCTTGCAACTTAGCGACGCTGAACAACTGCGGACACGCTGTCTCAAGATCGGTCTCCACAGACCCCGCAAAAGGAAGTGTCCAACCCAACGGCAAACCTGCAAGCAAGGTGTGAGGTGCGTCAAACCTGGAACATAGAGCACATTACATGTTATAGAACGCCTGCAAACCACTCGGCCAAGGTGGGATCAACGTACTGGCCGCGCCCGACGCTGCAGGAAGAGCAAGCGTCCTTGTAGGTCTTGTCGTAGTACACCTGGTTTGCCAGATCCTGCGGCGCAGATGTGTAAGGAACGACGCTCAACCCAAACCAAACTGCCTGCTTGCCGCGCGTGGTCAAAGCATGGATATTCGCGTTGGTGGTCGCTGAAAACGGGCCTCAACATGTACTTGAAACAAGCGTAATAGGCAAACACCTGACTTTGTCCCTGGCGAATGGTTCCATAGGACCCAAGGATTATTGGCCTCTTCACAAGGCCGCCCCCTGGGAGTTTGACGCCCTTCCGCACACGCTCTGGCACCTGAGGTAAGAGGAATCGGACAGAACAGGTTGCAAACAACACGCGTGCAACCTAGGCACAAGCTTCACTGTAAGCTTTTGCCGGGCAGTTTGTGGAAAGCAACGGGGGCGAAAAGAAGCCACGCGGCGACCGTCAAAGTGCCCAAACTTTGGCAAGCGCGTGTCCTGACAAACATTTTTTCACAAGCAACATGATGCTGCAAGATGCACAGGAGTTATGCTGATGATGGTCCTTCTTCACTTTCAGGGCCGGCCGAGCAGGGCGAGCCGGGGGCATGGCAGCCGAGTCTTCACAACTTAGAAACAGGTGCGCAGAAGCTATGGAAACTTGCTAAAAGCCACGCCTAGGACCCGCTGAGGCCATGACTCGCTCAGCTCCGCGACAGCTTCCAGAGGCATGGTGATGTCCAAAACCAAATGCTTGCCGGTTGCGCGCGCGAACCAGAAGGCAACATGATAATCCAACCCTGCGTCAACCACACAGCTGCTCAACACAATATTTGAGATGAAGGATCCAACAATACATTGAGCATGCTAGCTGCTAGCAAACAACAAGGGAACAAGCTGATTGTAAAAAAACTGAAGATGAAACATGCAACACTGCACCAAACATGCTAACAAGCAAAAAGGCAGCAAACTGGTCATGCAATAATATTTAAAATGAAACATCCAACACTGCGCCAAACATGCTAACAAACAACATGTCAACAACCTGCTCAGCGCAAGTTTGAAGATGAAGCATCCAACGCTGCATGAAACACACTAACAAACAACAAGTCAACAAACTGCCCAACACAAGATCCAACGCTGCAACAACCACCAACAAGCAATCACTGTTTCGCAATGCTCTGGGTCACCTCCAGTACGGCCAATGCATCACCAGCATCACTGAGATTTCTTTGAGCCCTTGATGCACATTTGGACCCCGAATAGCACGCACAAAAATTATAAGCAATGTGCAGCGTTGGGAGTCTTTATGTTTGTGTGTGTTTTTTACAGCTGCCGGAAAAATAGTGAATCGCGACATGACAGTGCTATCGCATTTTCCATTGTGCCACGTATCACAAGTACGGCTGGACAATTACATTTCTACATCCCAGATCTTACCAGGTGATTCCGCCTCGCCTTGTCCAAAAGGCCCTCCCTTTGACAAGCACAGGAACCACCAAAATCAGAAGCTGTAGCGTGGTGCCCGCTAGATGTCGCATTTTTTCAGTATTGCCTAGTTTTAATCTCTAGTATTGGGACATGTCGGATGTGGAATGAATTCCATTGATATATCGGGGTGCTTTCGCTAGAAGTGATTCGGAACACCTTGTGCAGAATTTCCGCATCAGTTTGGCGCTTTGATGCCGTGTGGTATCATGCCCTGCTGATTTGTGAAACCACCAGGAATTGGACGCAGGTTTAGTCCAAGTTTCCATTTTCCAGGGTTCCATTTTTGGGCACCTATTTTGGACCCACAGCCATATGGGATGCGGAGCAGAAAGCAACTTGTAAGAGAGGCCTGGCTGACAGCTCTTGCCAGGCGGGCTGACGAGCACAGAAGAGGAGCCGGAGGAGACATGCAGCGATTGCGATCACTCGGATACATTCGAGTTTAGACCATATGAGTGGGGGAGCCAACGCTCTAGGAAAGCGGCTCACGTCTTCATTCTTTGAGCGATGGTTTATCTAGATTCTCTGGCTCTTTGGCGCAAAAAAAACAACGTGCCTGCACGCAACGCGAGACAGGACGCAGCGGATCTCATGAACCGCCTGGATCTCAGCGAGAGCTTGGAGGACCCGGGGCACCAGAGATTCCCTGAGCAGCGGCAAGAAAGGACTCGCCCAACAGAGAGGTTGTCTCTTGTTGTTTCACAAATTTCTAAGATGAGCTCAGATGATCAGCAATCCAATAGAGAAGGCTCAAGATGAACATGATTTCTGTTTTGGCTCAAGCTGTGAAGCCCGGTGAAGGGCTCCTGAAGGACTTTAGTCACCGAGTAATTCGCCGAAAGGGATGGCTTTCCTCGCTTTGGCCTTGTTCACGCTGGCCGCAGCGCACAGCGGCACCTGCCCCGCCACCAAGAAGTGTGGAGAGGGAGCGGAGGTCGGGCTGCCGTGCTGCCAGGTGAACTCCACAAAGTTTGAGTGCTGTTCTTCTTCTGAGGCATGTATCCCCAAGGTTGGGTGCCGTTGCAATCTGGAGGCTCAGGCTCCCCTCTACGAGACCTACGACTTCGCGGCTTTCTGCGAGGAGTTTTCTAGAGCCTACGGCGCCGAGGAGATCGAGAGGCGACGAAGCATCTTCCAGACCAACCTTGAGAAGATCAAAGCCCACAACTCGGAGTACCAGGCAGGCCTTCACAGCTGGTACATGGCGGTCAATGACTTTGCAGACTGGTCCCAGGAGGAGTTCAAGGGCATCCGGGCAACTCAGACCCCGCTGCAGGCTGTCACCGTGCAGTTGGGCGCGAAGGCGCAGGCCAATCCCGAGACCATGGACTGGCGAAGCAAGGGGGTGGTCACGCCGGTCAAGAATCAGGGCGGCTGCGGATCGTGCTGGGCATTTTCGGCCACTGAGACTGTGGCTCTGTTGCCCAGTGGTGCCTTTTTTCCTATTTTTTTTGGGTTCCCCTTCAAACTCAAGCAACAAAAAAAGGGTGCCCGTTTTTTTCCATGGACACTGGGCATCTGAGGTGGAGTCGCACTTCGCGATCGCCTCCGGCCATCTTCTGACCTTGGCGCCTCAGACCTACGTGGACTGCGTGGTGAACACCAAGGAATGTGGTGGCACCGGTGGGTGCGAAGGGGCCATCATGGAAGAGGCCTTCAACTTGACGATTTCCAAAGGCATCGCGTTGGAGTCCGATTTGCCATACCAAGGGGTGGATGAAACCTGCAAACCGTACAAAGCGGCTGTGAAAGCTCAGGCTTATGTGAAGCTTCCTGTCAATGATGCCAGCTCTCTTGAGACAGCTTTGGCAACTAAGGGGCCCGTGTCAGTGACAGTGGCCGCAGGTTCTTGGCAACTCTACGGCGGTGGCATTTTTGACGGTTGCAGCAAGGACTCAGACAACACCTTAGATCACGGTGTCCAAGCCGTCGGCTATACAGCAGACAGCTGGATTGTCCGCAACAGCTGGGGGCCATCTTGGGGTGAAGAGGGGTACATTCGCTTGTCAAGAGCCAGCGATTCCAAGACCTTTCTGGACAAGAAGCCGGCGGATGGTTCGGCATGTAAGCCATACCCCAAAACACAGACCGTCGGTGGTGAGTGCGGAGTTCTCTTCGACACTTCATACCCAATAGGCTTGACTGCGGGCGACCAAGAGCTGGTGGTGTGATTCCATATGCTCCATTTCGCGGCCCCGGACATTCTCAGGGGCTGGCCTCAATGGCTGTTCTTGGCAGCGGTTGAGCGGCAGTCGTCTCGAAAAAAAAAAGCAAGAAGAGAGGCTCTCTCTTGTTGTCTGGCACATTTCCAAGATGGACATAGATGATCAGCATGCTGAATCACGGGAAGTTTAGAACTACTCCACTGCACTCCACTCCACTCCACTGCACTCCACTCCACTCCACTCCACTGCACTGCACTCCACTCCACTCCACTCCACTCCACTCCACCCCACCCCACCCCACTCCACTCCACTCCACTCCACTCCACTCCAAATTCAGCTTTGAACTCATCAAAATCAGACCCCGACTTTGCCAAAATCAGAGAATCCGCCGTGGACCATGTATTCAACTCAAACATCAGCTAACGATGCATTGATGGCTTGCGCTTTTCCATCAAGTCACTTGATGCAAGAAAGACACGAGTCGGTGCGTTTGTGTTTATGGGCATCTATCCAGTGAAGAGCCAAGGAGCCATTGAAGGGATCATTTGGCAGACGTGAGTTCCTTTCAGGCAACCCTTACTCGGTTAGATTTGAATCCGTGGTTGCAGAGGGCAACTGGGAAGCCATCCCTATCCAAACCACCAATCCATACCAGCGATCTCTCTCCTCATGATTCGTCGGCAGGAGATGGCTGGATATGAGTCTGACCCAGCAATGGAGCCTGTCATGAGCAGCCTCATCCTCAGTACCAACACTTGACTTGGCACCAAGCTGCTTGCTCTCAGGAATGAAAAGTGTGGGAGGCTGGGACGCCCCTTGTCGGCGCAGTGTTGCACTTAAACTATGAATGAGAATTGTCGCCGCGGATGCAACTGCAGCTTTCTGTTGGGCAGTTGGGCACGAGCATTACGTTGTCCAATTGAGACATTTACGCGCACCAGGTTGTGTTGCTTCCAGATCAGCGGCAGAGCTAGGACTTGTTTGGTGCTGAGCTTTGCATCGGCGTCCCGCGCCATGTCGAAATTGGCCACCACCACCACACGCTGGCTACCACCTGGCTGGAGTGTCCATAAGGACAAATGTGGGCGCACCTACTATGCCAACTCCGACACCGGGAAGGTCCAGTGGCTGCCCCCGCCCACGGTGCAGAAGACTGCCTCGGAGGTGCGGACGCTGATCATCCAGCACAACTTCAAGGCTGCGGATCGGGACAACAGCGGGGTGATCAACAAGAGCGAGCTGGGCCTTATGATGCGGCGGATCAACCCGGAGATGACGGCCAAGGAGGTAGAAGACATGCACAAGGCCATGGACTCCGACCTGGATGGAAAGGTCAGCTTCTCGGAGTTTCATGACTGGATCCTGGCGGATGCGCAGCGGGGGCTGGCTGAGAAGCTGACGCACCTCATGTCTTCGCCCGCGGGGGGAGTCCATGCAACCTTCCGGATCTGGGATATGGACAGCAATGGGAAGCTATCCAGGCATGAGCTCGCAGAAGTTTTGCAGAAGTCGCTTCCTCACATTTCACAGGTCCAACTGGAAGGCATATTCGATGAGCTTGACAAAGATAAGCAACTTGGCACAGCCCTTTGCACAGCATGCGTTGCGCAATGGCAGTGCGAGAGAGTGCTTTGAGTTGGCAACATTCAAGCCATGCTTTGTCCACAAACCGCTGAACTCTTGAACCCTTAGCTGAACGATCATTGGGGGGCTTGTGTGTGTGTGTGGGATGTCTGAGGACTGGCCAGGTGACGGTCTCCGAGTTTATGGGCTTTCTATACGGCAGCGGAGCCGCGACCAGTTTCAGCAAGGCCCAGACGGGCGGGTCCGCCAAGCCCTTCAACTCGCTGGTGCGAGAGGTAGGGGAATGAGCCCAGGCCGTCCCCTTAAAGGGAACCCGTTGGATGGTTTATAGGGGTCATTCCATTGCTCACTCCCTGAGCGCTAGCAAGATTCACTGGGCCCCTTCAACTCTTGATTCTCTCTCAGAAGCCAAGAGGTTCCTTTTGAGACCACTTGAGTGACTCTCGCTGATGCTCGCTCGCTCCAAAGCCCATCTAAGGGCACACCTCAAGAGAGGCAAGGCAAACTGGGAGAGGCATCGGGTGGAGCAACCAGCCACCCCTTGGTACAATGTTTTGATACCCCTGCTTGATTTTGAGAGATGGGGGTGTCAAGTTTTTCGTGGATAGGGGGTGGGGGGGTTGGGGCTCACCTTTTAGGAGTCTGGAAAGCCCTCTTGTGGGGCCTGACACCCCTGTAATTAACGGAAGGAACCCAAGAGGGGTTCCATTTCCCAAAAGGAGTTTCCTCTAAGAGTGGGTTCCGGCCGTGAATGTGTAGGAGGGGTAACCTGAGTTGCCCGCTTCTAGGTCGACTTAACCCTGTTTCTGTCACGGGGGTTTGAATGAAACCAGAAGAAAACCAACCATCTTGAGTTTTCTTTTTGAGACAACCTCAATTTGGGTGTGTCTTGTTTTGACGATTCTCATGGTACCTCTGTTTTGTTGGTTTCAAAGAGACACGGACAGCCACCCATTTTGGGGGCCCTAAAAAGACAAACCCATTTTGACATCGTCACCTTTAAGCCCATTCAAAGTGGACCTTTCCTTTGTTATGTAAAGAGACACCCACAGGGAATCAAACACCACACCATTTCTCGAGGTGTCCTAGCCAAAGTTGGGGTGTCCAGCCCAAAACTCCCAGTGCGCCGACGTTCTGCCGGCTCCGGCTCCGGATCCGGCCGCTCGCTCGAGGCCTCGGTGGAGCGAAGGCCGGGCTGGGAGGAGGCGCCGGACAGCGACGCGGCGCGGAAAATGGGCGCCACGCCGACGGCGCCGGCCCTGGCGGAGCGGAGGCCGCCGGCGCCGGCGCGGTGAGCGCGAGAGCGACGGGCGAGGGTTGTTAGACGCGGGTCGGGGTGCCGGAAGCGAGCGGGGTTTTGGTGGCCTTCTTTTGAGTTGGTCGCGTCTTTTTTGGGGGGCGGGTTTGAAAGGGAGAAGGGGAAAACTGAAGCTTCACAAGTCCATCCTTGAAGTTGGCAGCTTGCTTGGCGGCTCGTCCAGACAGGCGACCCAAAGCCAGATCTTGCTGTGCGGGCAAACGCTCGCACCGGCACAAAATACTGTGGATCTTTCTAGCCAGCCGCAACTTTTAAAACGGACTGGGCATGAAGCAGCCTCGCGCTTTTCTTTTGCCTTCGACGGGTGGCAAACTGGCAATAGGTGGCAAAGTGGCCAGCTCCGCACTGCTTTAAAAATAAATAAATCATCTTTGGCCAATTGCTGCACTTTGCAACCCCACCGCACTTTTGCTCGTTGGCTCGAGTGCCAGCAAGCCATGCTTTGCCTGGGCCCTGCAGCGAGCGGCTTGAGCGCTGCCTTTGTGGCTTGAACGCCAAAAGCAATATCACAATCCATTGAGCCAAGGGCTATTCACCGAATTTGTGTCGGCCCTTTGATCAATTCGTTTGAGCATGAAGTGGCAGAGCAATATGCGGCTGTCACCCCGTGTCACCCGCTTGAAGTTGTAGGCAGGACATACAGCCGTTAACGAGCGAAGGGGCCACCGCATTCGGGGAAACGACCTCTCCAGCCGGGGCAGTTCTGGTTTAGCCTGGTTCAGCCAAAACGCACCCACAGCGTTCATGCGAAAGACTCGCACACAACAAGCAACGCGAGAAAAAAAGAAGAAGAAACAATACAAGAAGGAAAAAACAAGGAACACCTTTTTTGGTTGGCCCTGGCCCGAGCGCCGAGCAACGCTCCGGTTGTACTTTACGGCACCCGCTTCTAAGCCCAAGCTGTGGGGAGCGTCAGCTGCCGCGCCAAAAGAGCCGCGGCGCTCATCCTACACATGGCTGTGGTTGTGAAAACCGTTTTGGATCCCATTTTGGTTGGGATTGGTGAATTCACCACCCATTTTAGGCTTCCTATTTTAGTGGTTGGATTGGTTGATGTTCACTGGGGGTACGGGCTTTGGATTTTGACCCATGGCCACATCACCCCTTTTCTCATTGGAGACATGGGATGTTGGTTTGCACATTGGCCTTGCGCTATCCCATCAGCTGGTTTCTTGTTCCAGGGAAGGGAGCATTTCTGCTTCTGTTGCAAATTCCTGCGACTCGCGACTCGCCAGGCGTGGCCGAGGACTCTATGGAGGAGATGATGGGCTTCCACCAGTGGCTCAGCGACCTCTTCCGGGACTTTGGGGGTCAATGGGTCGGCGGGTTGGGGGGGTGGCTTTAGATTCGGAGAGATGAATTAAGCAAAGAGTGTCTGCGCAAGAGTGTGTTACAGGTGTTTGGGTGATTTGAACATGCAGGTCGCACATGTCCAAGCTGGAGCCTCGGTGCAGCGAACTCTTCAACCCTAGCCTTAGACGAGTAGAAGGTGTCTCAGAGTCTGCTTTGTCACAGCTGTCTGGTTCAAGCTGGCGGGAAAGTGGCGGTGCTGCACATGTCAAGGTACAGTCCGTCATCTTTCGTGATGCATTTCGTAGCTTGCAAGCTGAGTTCACTTCCGAAAACTCGTGACCCAGACAGCTGCGAGAAAAAACGATTGGCCAATTGTGCGTCACGAAGCGGATTTTAGGTCAAATGCGTGGCAAAGGGAGGGTGGAGGTGAGCGCGGTTCTATACTTTTCGGGCCCTGAGCATCCCTGGAGGAACTGTTTGTTGCTTCCAGGCTGCTAGTCATCGCTTGAAAGGTCAGTCGGGCAAAGGGCTCCGGTGGATCCTGCTTACTCAGGGATGGACGTATTTTTTTTGTACTTTCTACTTTCTGCAGCCCAGAAAGAACTTGGTGGCTCCCAGCCAGCCCCTTAGCCTGTTAGCCTTTTTAGTAGTTTCCATTTAACCCACTAAAAGTTAGTCACTTGTAGCGGGGGATCTGAGGGCCCACAAAGAAGACGTGTCCTGCCAGGGCAAGCAACGGAGCCAGGACCAGCAGCGCGACTGGCGGCTGACTTTCCTCCTGCAATTTCGCAACTCCCGCGTGGAGGCCGCTGAAAAGAAACTCAGTGGTGATAGCTTCCCTTTAAACACCAACAGGGGAAAGTTTTTCAATTTTCCTAAGCTAAATGGAAGACAAGGGCGCCACGGTGCGAGGTCGCCTGAGGGCAGTGCAAGAGGGTTGGTGCTTTAGGATTCGTGGCAACAGAGTTTGCCAAGCCCTCGGTTTTGGCCATGTGGCATGAACCTTCCCAATGGAGCCGTGCTTTCAGATGGTTGACAGTCGTAGTTCAGTCAGAACTCGATCAAACGCTTTTGGCTGGTTTTGGCATCTGATTCTCGGATTGGCAGTGCTGCCTTGAATCATGGCAGCTTGCGTCAGGCTGCCTATGTGGCTCACTACCTTCCTGCCACACTGCGGCAAGCACAAGTGCTGGCCCTGCTGGTTTCAGGCGCTGCGCCTGGCGGAGCATTTGCATGTCTGACGCGCTTGAAGTATCCCACCCAGTGCCGGCTGGTTTGGCAGCTAAGTCAGATGTGGAAGACCATGTTCCTCTAAAAAAACACCCTCTGGTGGGTTCCATGTTAATGGACAGGAGGGTAACATCTTGCTTTTGCAATTTGTGGAGTGTGCCTTGCTTGCTTGCTTGCCTGGCGCTGATTGGGACCTTGCGGGGCCTTTTCCAATCCATTTCGCGGCTGAGGATACTCAGTGTGGGCAGTCACTACGGAGCACTTCCAGTGGAATCCGTGCCAGCCTTGGGATGACGAGGCTCCAGGGTTGTAGCCAGCTGCGAGCAGGAATTTTCGCTTTGGATTGCGAAAAAGCCCTTTCGCACACTGGTGTTCAAAGTCACTGAGCTATTGGCGAACTTAGTGGTTACCTATGGTTTTGAAGGGATGCTCTTCGCCGAGTTTCGTTTCTGCAAGCTGCATTCGAATGCCTGGCTGGCTTCGTGCTAGTCTGTGCGAATGCTGAGGTCAATTGTTCAATGGACGACCGAAGTCCAAGCAGTGCGCGGCTCATTCTCGCCATCGGAGTGCAAGACCCGATTGATCCTTTATTTTAAAGAGAGACAGAGACAGAGAGAGCGAGAGAGAGAGAGAGTGCGAGAGTGCGAGAGAACAAGAGAGAGACAGAGAGAGAGAGAGAGAGAGAGACAGAGAGAATAAGAGAGAGACAGAGAGAGAGAGAGAGAATAAGAGAGAGAGAGACAGAGAGAGAGATAGAGACAGAGAGAGACAGAGAGAGACAGAGAGAGACAGAGAGAGACAGAGAGAGAGAGAGAGAGAGAGAGACAGAGAGAGACAGAGAGAGACAGAGAGAGAGAGAGAGAGAGACAGAGAGAGACAGAGAGAGAGAGAGAGAGAGAGTGCGAGATAGAGTCGAGAGAGAGAGAGAGTCGAGAGAGAGAGAGAGAGAGACAGAGAGAGACAGAGAGAGAGAGAGAGAGACAGAGAGAGACAGAGAGAGAGAGAGAGAGAGACAGAGAGAGACAGAGAGAGAGAGAGAGACAGAGAGAGAGACAGAGAGAGAGTGCGAGAGAGAGAGAGAGATCTTTTCCGGCCGTTAGTGATCATGCTTGCTGCTTTTTGAGATGTCGTTGATTTCCTGGGTCCCTTAAAGCTTCAAGGTTCAGTCAGACAGTTGCTAGGATATTGAGTGCAACGTGTAAGCGGACGTGCCATTTGTTCATATATGTTTTTAGGGACTGCTTTTTGTTTTTCTTTAGGTTGCTTTGGTCTTGGTGAGTTTTCGTGGCTTTTGGTGGCTGTGGCTCTTGGCTTTCCCACATCCTCAGCATCACGCGCTTTCCTAGCAGTGCCCTTATTTGTGCGGCCGTTGTGGCAAGCCCAAATCCCAGCCAAACCTTCAAAACCACCACCCACCCTAAACCACCACTGACACCAAACCAAACCTAAACTCACCCCAAACCCACCCCAAACCCACCCTAAACCCACCCTAAAGAAACCTTAAACCCCCTAGCCACCTGCAACAACCCACTCTAAACCGCCAATAAACCATCCCTAACCTCCAACCCGCCAATCCTAATCCCACCCCAAACGCACCCTAAACCCCTATAAACCTACCCTAAACCAACCCAAAACCCACCACAAACCAGCCCTAGACCCACCGTAAACCCATCTAAAACTACGCCAAGCAGCCAAAGCCCACCCCTAAGCCGGGCCCGAACCCACCGTAAACCTAACCAACTGGTGCTGAGGGTATTGAAACCAATGCCGGGTTTGAAATGCCCCGGGATGTTGACTGCGTGGTGCAAAACGAGTGCATTTTGTTCGAACACGCTGTAACATACAACAACTCTCACTTGCAGGCGGAAAGAACAAACGAGAAAAAAACACCGAATCAAATCTTGACCCGTTTTGGTGGGTCGCCATCAGAAAGCCATTGAACCACAAAGTCACCAAGTTGCACTTCCCGTGAATCCGAGGTTCATGTCATCTAGCACGAGGAAGCCCATAGGAACACATGGGCAGTACATGGATTGTGCGCTGTAGGTAAATAACCTGGCCTGGATGTGTATCTTCTTGGGCTCGTGCATCACCTTTGCGGTGGCGGCCCCGGTGTGATGCTTTGCATTTGGGCAAGCTTTGCATCTCACAGCCATGTGCAGTCATACGCTTTTAGACTGGATGAACGGTGTTCAGTTCCAAGAGCCTCTTGATCTTCAGCGATCATAGTTCAACAACCCCTGGCCCTGGCATGGGCCAAGCAAGGTGTCAAACTCGTGCTGACTTGCCTTGAGGAAACTTTGAGGAGTGATATGGCTGTGGGTTAAAACCAATGATACCATTTTGGGGTAGGTGAATTCACCACCCATTTTAGAACCTATTTTAGTGGTTGGATTGGGTCCCGTTCACTGGGGGTACGGGCTTTTGGTTTTGACCCATGGCCATAGCAATGAG